TTATTTTTCCTATGATCACTGCCCCATGGATTGAAAATTCACTTAAGTCAGTAAGTGAAAAGCAGAAATATATAACCCAGCATCTTGTTGTTGGAAGTGTTTAGTGGGGTGATATACAAAGAGGCCTGTGCTTGGTTTCATTCAGGTTATTTACTTTTCAATACTAATAGGTAGGGCCCTACCAAATTCATGGTTCATTCTGATCAATTTCACAGCCAGAGGGTTTTAAAATTGGTTGATTTCACAATTGCAGATGTTTATAACTAAAATTTCATGGTGCTGTAACCATGGGGATCCCGACCCAAAATGGGATCGTGGGGAGATTGCAAAGTTGTTGTGGGGGGGGGTTCCAAGCACTGTTCCTGCTAAGTTGTGCGCGTGTGCGCGCACACACGGATCCTGAACCCTGTGCACACGGCGAAACACCGCGCGCACAACAATTTGCACAGAAGACATTTTTTGCACGCACAGCCTGTCAAAAATTAGAGGGAACATTGGTCCCAAGATTGCCACCCTCACTTCTGTGCTGTCTAGCTAGTAGCCTCTGACCTTCCTGCAGTTAGAGAAGGTTCCGGGAGGTGGAGATGGGTAGGATCCCCCACTCCCATGCTGCTCGGAGCTAGTCCAGGCCAGTGACAGATTAAGGCAGGGGCTCCCTGGAAAAATGGGTTTCCCAACCCCAAAAGAAGCCATAGGGCAGAAACCCCAACTGGGTCACCCTGAGCCCTGGCAGGAGCCCTGGGGGAAGAAGAGTCAAGCCCAGGCACCCTGAGCCCCAACTGCAGCTGCGGGGCTGAAGCCTTGAGCCTGGGCTGCCCTGAGCCTGGGTTGCCCTGAGCTCCGGCTGTGGGGGCAGAAGCCCTGAGCCACTCCAGCAGGAGGGAGGTGCCAAAGCTCCAAGCCTCGGTTGCCCTGGCTGGTGGGGTGTGGTGCTGTGGGAGCCCGGGCTGTCCGGGGGTGGGGGATGTGTAAAAGCCCCAAGCCTGGGCTTCTCCGGCTGGAGCAACAGGGAGCAGAAGTCCCCAGCCCGGCAGGAGCTGCTGGGGGTGGAAGGGGAAGCCAGGAGCTTAGCGCCTAGAGCCACGGCAGGAACTTCAGGGGCTGGGGCACGTAGGGGACAGAAGCCCAGCTCCCGGGCTGCTGCAGCACAGAAGTGAAGGTGTACCACCCTCCTTTCTGTGCTGTCTCTGGAGGTGGATCTGATCTCCTCACCAAGAGAAGCCATGTAGGAGAAGGACAAGTCCTGTCCCTCACCAGCATGGCTAGGAGCCCCAGGCTCCCAGCAGCTGGGGAGATCAGATTTCTTGCGGGAGGGCTGATTTCACAGTCTGTGCACGGCTGTGAAATTGGTAGGGTCCTACCAATAGTATAATGATGTTACTCTGTCATAGCATCAAAAAGCCAGATTCTTGGCATATTGATGTCCTGGAAATATGTCTATCACTTCAATTATGATTAATACTTGTACAATTTTTTTTAACTAAAAAGTTTAATAGTGATTTAGTCACTCATAACTAATCGCAATATTTAAACCATATTATTCATGTTTCCTCTCTGCCAAATAGGTCTCCTTTCTGTGAAGAAATAATCTGTTGTAGAGGAGACCAAGTGCGGCTTGCAGTTCGTGTGCGAGTGTTTACATATCCTGAATCTGCATGTGCTGTTTGGATCATGTTTGCTTGTAAATATCGCTCTGTACTTTAAAAAAAAATCACGTATACTTCTTAGAGCCTTGAAACAGTGTACATAAGTGTTAGTACAAATGAACATTATTATTAAAAATCATATTAATTACAACATTTCATGTTTCACTTTAGATAAACACCACTCTGATGATGGTTGTGAATATTTTAATGTGTGTATTTAAAACAAAATTAAGGAAAAATACTTGTATATACTGTAATGTGTATTTATATAAAGTGTATATTTTTATTTTAATAAAAGTTGCTTTATTTACATTTTTAGAGGTAAAGATCTGCATTCATTAAAACATGTATGCAAATATCTACTTCTTTTTCACAGTTGTAAATTGTGGAAGGATTCATCAAAAGTAAGCATCCTTTCTGTACATTCCTATTTACCCAAGTCCACTGGTGTTTCCTTTGCTTACTCTTGGGAGACTCTTTCACTTTGTCAACCCTCCCTCCCCCCTTTTTTTTTTGTTTCTGGTTTGCACCAAATATTTTCACCAATATGCTAATATTAACTTTGTTAGGAGGGGATACACTTTTATCCCTGTCTCAATTACATACTGGTCTAGGCATCTTTTGACAGCGCTTAGGAAGCAATCACAGGATAGAGTCCTAGGATATCTCATTTGATAGCTTCCTGATTAGTTGGGAAAAGTCCTAAATTCTTCCTTCTGAGGTTCTTTAACACCAGGCTACAGGCACTTAGGGTATGTCTACACTACGGAATAAGGTCGAATTTATAGAAGTCGGATATTTAGAAATCAGTTTTATATATTCGAGTGTGTGTGTCCCCACAGAAAATGCTCTAAGTGCATTAACTTGGCGGAGTGCTTCCACAGTACCAAGGCTAGAGTCGACTTCCGGAGCGTTGCACTGTGGATAGCTATCCCACAGCTCCCGCAGTCTCCGCTGCCCATTGGAATTTTGGGTTGAGATCCCAATGCCTGATGGGGCTAAAACATTGTCGCGGGTGGTTCTGGGTACATATCATCAGGCCCCCGTTCCCTCCCTCCCTCCCTCCGTGAAAGCAAGGGCAGACAGTCATTTCACGCATTTTTTCCTGAGTTACCTGTGCAGACGCCATACCACGGCAATCATGGAGCCCGCTCAGGTAACCGTCACCCTATGTCTCCTGGGTGCTGGAAGACGCGGTATGGCTTTGCTACACAGTAGCAGCAACCCATTGCCTTGTGGCAGCAGACGGTGCAATATGACTGGTAGCCGTCATCGTCATGTCCGAGGTGCTCCTGGCCACGTCGGCTGGGAGCGCCTGGATAGACATGGGCGCAGGGACTAAATTTGGAGTGACTTGACCAGGTCATTCTCTTTAGTCCTGCAGGCAGTCCTATTGAACCGTCTTATGGTGAGCAGGCAGGCGATACAGATTGCTAGCAGTCGTACTGTACCATCTTCTGCCAGGCAGGCAAGAGATGAGGATGGCTAGCAGTAGTACTGTACCGTCTTCTGCCGAGCAGCCATGAGATGTGGATGGCATGCAGTCCTTCTGCACCGTCTGCTGCCAGCCAAAGATGTAAAAGATAGATGGAGTGGATCAAAACAAGAAATAGACCAGATTTGTTTTGTACTCATTTGCCTCCTCCCCCGTCTAGGGGACTCATTCCTCTAGGTCACACTGGAGTCACTCACAGAGAAGGTGCAGCGAGGTAAATCTAGCCATGTATCAATCAGAGGCCAGGCTAACCTCCTTGTTCCAATAAGAACGATATCTTAGGTGCACCATTTCTTATTGGAACCCTCTGTGAAGTCCTGCCTGAAATACTCCTTGATGTAAAGACACCCCCTTCGTTGATTTTAGCTCCCTGAAGCCAACCTGTAAGCCGTGTCGTCAGTCGCCCCTCCCTCAGTCACAGCAACGGCAGACAATCGTTCCGCGCCTTTTTTCTGTGCGGATGCCATACCAAGGCAAGCATGGAGGCCGCTCAGCTCACTTTGGCAATTAGGAGCACATTAAACACCACACGCATTATCCAGCAGTATATGCAGCACCGGAACCTGGCAAAGCAATACCGGGTGAGGAGGCGACGTCAGCGCGGTCACGTGAGTGATGAGGACATGGACACAGATTTCTCTGAAAGCATGGGCCCTGCCAATGCATGCATCATGGTGATAATGGGGCAGGTTCATGCTGTGGAACGCAGATTCTGGGCTCGGGAAACAAGCACAGACTGGTGGGACGGCATAGTGTTGCAGGTCTGGGACGATTCCCAGTGACTGCGAAACTTTCGCATGCGTAAGGGCACTTTCATGGAACTTTGTGACTTGCTTTCCCCTGCCCTGAGGCGCATGAATACCAAGATGAGAGCAGCCCTCACAGTTGAGAAGCGAGTGGCGATAGCCCTGTGGAAGCTTGCAACGCCAGACAGCTACTGGTCAGTTGGGAATCAATTTGAAGTGGGCAAATATACTGTGGGGGCTGCTGTGATGCAAGTAGCCCACGCAATCAAAGATCTGCTGATATCAAGGGTAGTGACCCTGGGAAATGTGCAGGTTATAGTGGATGGCTTTGCTGCAATGGGATTCCCTAACTGTGGTGGGGCCATAGACGGAACCCATATCCCTATCTTGGCACCGGATCACCAAGCCGCCGAGTACATAAACCACAAGGGGTACTTTTCGATAGTGCTGCAAGCTCTGGTGGATCACAAGGGATGTTTCACCAACATCAACGTGGGATGGCCGGGAAAGGTGCATGACGCTCGCATCTTCAGGAACTCTGGTCTGTTTCAAAAGCTGCAGGAAGGGACTGGGACCCAGCCTACCCCTTAATGCCATGGCTCATGAAGCCGTACACAGGCAGCCTGGACAGTAGTCAGGAGCTGTTCAACTACAGGCTGAGCAAGTGCAGAATAGTGGTAGAATGTGCATTTGGACGTTTAAAGGCGCGCTGGCGCAGTTTACTGACTCGCTTAGACCTCAGCGAAACCAATATTCCCACCGTTATTACTGCTTGCTGTGTGCTCCACAATATCTGTGAGAGTAAGGGGGAGACGTTTATGGCGGGGTGGGAGGTTGAGGCAAATCGCCTGGCTGCTGGTTAGGCGCAGCCAGACACCAGGGCGGATAGAAGAGCACAGGAGGGCGCGGTACGCATCAGAGAAGCTTTGAAAACCAGTTTCATGATTGGCCAGGCTACGGTGTGAAAGTTCTGTTTGTTTCTCCTTGATGAAACCCCCCGCCCCTTGGTTCACTCTACTTCCCTGTAAGCTAACCACCCGCCCCTCCTCCCTTCAATCACCGCTTGCAGAGGCAATAAAGTCATTGTTGCTTCACATTCATGCATTCTTTATTCATTCATCACACAAATAGGGGGATGACTACCAAGGTAGCCCAGGAGGGGTGGTGGAGGAGGGAAGGAAAATGCCACACAGCACTTTAAGCACAGCACTTTAAAAGTTTACAACTTTAAAATTTATTGAATGACAGCCGCCTTTTTTTTTGGGCAATCCTCTGTGGTGGAGTGGCTGGTTGGCCGGAGGCCCCCCCACCGCGTTCTTGGGCATCTGGGTGTGGAGGCTATGGAACTTGGGGAGGAGGGCGGTTGGTTACAGAGGGGCTGCAGTGGCAGTCTGTGCTCCAACTGCCTTTGCTGCAGCTCAGCCATACACTGGAGCATACTGGTTTGGTCCTCCAGCAGCCTCAGCATTGAATCCTGCCTCCTCTCATCACGCTGCCGCCACATTTGAGCTTCAGCCCTCTCTTCAGCCCGCCACCTCTCCTCCCGGTCATTTTGTGCTTTCCTGCACTCTGACATTATTTGCCTTCACGCATTCGTCTGTGCTCTGTCAGTGTGGGAGGACAGCATGAGCTCGGAGAACATTTCATCGCGAGTGCGTTTTTTTTTCTTTCTAAGCTTCACTAGCCTCTGGGAAGGAGAAGATCCTGTGATCATTGAAACACATGCAGCTGGTGGAGAAAAAAAAAGGGACAGCGGTATTTAAAAAGACACATTTTATAAAACAGTGGCTACACTCTTTCAGGGTAAACCTTGCTGTTAACATTACATACATAGCACATGTGCTTTCGTTACAAGGTCGCATTTTGCCTCCCCCCACGGCATGACTACCCCCTCAACCTTCCCCCCTCCCTGTGGCTAACAGCGGTGAACATTTCTGTTTAGCCACAGGCAAACAGCCCAGCAGGAACGGTCTCCTCTGAGTGTCCCCTGAAGAAAAGCACTCTATTTCAACCAGGTGACCCTGAATTATATCTCACTCTCCTGAGGATAACACAGAGAGATAAAGAACGGATGTTGTTTGAATGCCAGCAAACATACACTGCAATGCTTTGTTCTACAATGATTCCCGAGTACGTGTTACTGGCCTGGAGTGGTAAAGTGTCCTACCATGAAGGACACAATAAGGCTGCCCTCCCCAGAAACCTTTTGCAAAGGCTTTAGGAGTACATCTGGGAGAACCGCGAATGCCAGGGCAAAGTAATCCTTTCACATGCTTGCTTTTAAACCATGTATAGTATTTTAAAAGGTACACTCACCAGAGGTCCCTTCTCTGCCTGCTGGGTCTAGGAGGTAGCCTTGGGTGGGTTCGGGGGGTACTGGCTCCAGGTCCAGGGTGAGAAACAGTTCCTGGCTGTCGGGAAAACCGGTTTCTCCGCTTCCTTGCTGTGAGCTATCTACAACCTCATCATCATCATCTTCTTCTTCTTCGTCCCCAAAACCTGCTTCCGTATTGCCTCCATCTCCATTGAAGGAGTCGAACAACACGGCTGGGGTAGTGGTGGCTGAACCCCCTAAAATGGCATGCAGCTCATCATAGAAGCAGCATGTTTGGGGCTCTGACCCGGAGCGGCCGTTCGCCTCTCTGGTTTTCTGGTAGGCTTGCCTCAGCTCCTTCAGTTTCACGCGGCACTGCTTCAGGTCCCTGTTATCGCCTCTGTCCTTCATGCCCTGGGAGATTTTGACAAAGGTTTTGGCATTTCGAAAACTGGAACGGAGTTCTGATAGCACGGATTCCTCTCCCCAAACAGCGATCAGATCCCGTACATCCCGTTCTGTCCATGCTGGAGCTCTTTTGCGATTCTGGGACTCCATTATGGTCACCTGTGCTGATGAGCTCTGCAAGTCTTTTGGTCAAATGGCATTGTCCTCTTTCTTGAGGAAAATTCTTCCCTCCTGTGTTGGTCCATCTGTTCCTTGCCTGCTGGTGTTACTTGAAGTAAGGATGGCATGGTATGGTATTGCCGCCCTTATGTCTGCACTGCTGCTGGCCGGGCGCTGCCTTCAGTGCTGGGCGCCCGGCCAGCAGCTGCTGCTCTCTAGCCATCTAGCTCTGAAGCCAACACAGAACTAAGGGTGGCACTACTGCACCCCCTACACTAACCATGTGATTCCCCAGTGATCTCCTTTTGGGTTGGGACCCCCAGTTTCAGAAACAGTGGTGTCCCTCGTGAAATCTGTACTAATAGGGTAAAAAAGTACACAAGACCAGATTTCATGGTCCGTAATGTGCTTTTCACCGCCGTAAATTTGATTGGGCCCTATTTATGAGGCTTCCCTTGGAACTACTGGGAGTTTTCAGGCTACTGTCACTTAAGTGGCCATTTTAGTTGTGAGTCATCTCTGCTAGACTGGTATGGAAACTGAATTCTCGCTTCATTAGTTCCCGTCTGTACCTCCTTACATTTTTATAAGGTGGCCTTTCCCCTCCCACTGCTCATGATTGTAAGGGTGAACTGAGGTCTGTAGTAACTAATCCAGGGATCTTTTCATTTTCTGCCATAATCCTAAATTTTCCCAGGACAGGCATATTTAATTTGGTAAATGTTATGCATGTTTTGAAGTTTTGTTTGTGATTCCTAGGAGTAGAAGAAGTTAAAATGTGTGTGCACTTTGAGGGTGCTATATTGGTAATAGTGCCACTAAAATTACCATTGTTAGATAGGTCAGAGAATATATTTTTCTGGTGTATGTTCAAGGAGGTTACCAGTGTCCGGAGTGTGAGATGTAGCAAGGGCTAAAGTGTCAACATCAATGGTTGCTGCAATGGCAATATAATAGTTTCCACATTTTATTAAATGCCCAAAAACTTCATTAATGCAGAGTTGGTGCCTCTTGCCCTTCCAGAATGTGTAGAGTGATGAATTAACCCCTCTGAAAACCAAGAAACACAAAGTTAAGGTACGTACCACCCCCACAGTGCAAACGTAACTCTCCCCTTCCCCCCCCCCATACTCCTGGTGCTGGTAGTAGCCTCTGGGAATGGTTCAGTAAGAGAGGTGCAAAGGTTTAACAAACTACCAAGAGAGGTGGATTCTCCATCTTGTGATGTCTTCAAATCAAGATTGTGGATGCCTTGCTGGAAGATGCTTTAGTCATTCGGCTCAATACAGGAGTAAGTGGGTGAAATGCTCTGGTGTGTATTATACAGGTCAGACTAAACAATCTTTTGTTTATTGTGGCCTCTAACTCTATGAATCTACAATAAATAGACACGAGGAGAGATAAAGAGAATATTCCACTATGTTGTGTTCCACATATTTGAATTCCCAGCATTTATCTGCACACATTCCAGCTGTATTCACTGTGTTAAGAGTAGCTGTATTGAATGCTGGAGGGATTAGTTGGAGCAGCTTGGCAGAGCTGTGAGTGATATGAAGTGCTTGTGTACTTATAGATCAAGTATGCTTCATTTCAGCATTGAATTTTGTAGGTTGTGTTAGTGGAGGTGCGCAAGGATATCATCTTCCAGGAGAATTGTCTGCAATCTGGTGGCAAATATGGTAGTAGCCTCCAGGGCTTATGCCTTGTCTACACATTAAATTGTTCAGGAGTAATGATTTCTGAACAGCTGTATGTGTGGACACTTATTCCACATTTTAAATTCTATTTCAAATTTTAAATTCACCTGCTATCTTATTCTGGAATAATTTGCATGTGTAGAAGGAACTCTTTTGGCAAGTGTGATGTGGGGGGTGGGGGTAACATTTAGGAAGTCCGGGGTAATTTTAATGTAATAGACTGGGAGAGCATAGTCCAGTGTAGGTAGCTCCTGTTTGCTACACCTGACCTAAACCAAGTTTTACCTTAGCAAAGATTAGATTTTTGTTCCGTAATGCTCAAGTGCTTTGTTTTCAAAATGTCCATAGTATGTGAGAGTAGAGTGCTAATATGTATGTGCTGGTGTGGGGGCAGAGTTAAGGTGTTGCAAGGGTGGCAACTTTTTATGTCCTGGTTTTCAGAGCTTAAGTTTAGCCATTCTCCACAGCTGGAATGGCACAAGACACCTCTGGGCAACTTTAACTTGTGTTAATGAAGTTTGGAGCATTTAATTTACCTAATGTATTGAAAAATAATTTCTCAGCATTAGCATGCATCACAGACCCAGCTCTGCTCCTTCACTGTCTCTGGCTTCCTGGCAATGATTACCTCCGTCACAGAAGGCACTGGCTGCATGTTAGTTGCTTCACTGTCCCTGCATTTGCTTCAGGGTCTCTGCCTGTTCAGCACAGCCTCAGTCTTGCAAGCGGCACAATAAAGTAAGACTCAACATCCTGCTTACTATATATGATGCTTGTCCTAGCTTGTCTTTGAGTACCATGGATAAAGAGGGACATATAATAAGAAAAATTACGCCCTGCCAGCTTCTATAATCCCAGGGAGCTCCAGCTCAAGTGCTTCTGCTAATAGTAACTGTGGTTGACGCCATAGGTAACACCCCTAACTCTGGAAAGTGCCCTGAGATATGTATGTAATAACAAAGAGACAGAACTTATCTTTTGTCTGAGACATAAGTAGAGATCTTCAGCAGCATGATTCCACATAACACCAATCTTGGGACATTGTTTAAACCTTGCTCTACACTATGAGTTTAGGCTGAATTTAGCAGCATTAGATTGATTTAACCCTGCACCCATCCACACGATGAAGCCATTTACTTTGACTTAAAGGGCTCTTAAAATTGATTTCTGTACTCCTCCCCCAACGAGGGGCTTAGTGCTGAAATCGACCTTGCATGGTCAAACTTGGGGTAGTGTGGTCGCAATTTGATGGTATTGGCCTTTGGGAGCTATCCCCCAATGCTCCATTGTGAGCGCTCTGGACAGCGCTCTCAACTTAGTATTAAAGTACTGACTCATAGTAACAAAGTACTGGCTCCTGCAACACCCAGGTTTTAATTGTACATTTGAGTTATAGACTTGGCCTTACATTCAAGATCTCAAAGTGCTGTACAAAGGTAACAGTATTTATCCATGTTTTACAGTTGTGAGACTGAGGTCTCACAAGAGGGTTTGATTTGCCCAGTGACCCACAATGAGCCAATCGCCTGATGAAAACTTTTGACAGTGCTATTTCCCCAGTATTTGTCCATTTTTACTTGAAAGATTGAGGTCACTTTACTGGGTGGATATAGCTAAATTAACCCAATATATTTTTATTAAAATAATTAATTTGCTCAAGTATGTATGTATGTACGTTGATATCTGTAAATGTAGAAACTTACCCAAATCCACTACAGTTACATTAAAAACAATATACTGCCAAATGTAAACTATTTCAGAAAATGGGGGGTTGTAGGTTTTTGTGGCATGAGTCTTTTAAATCTAAATTTTTTGGCCTCTTAAACCTGTAGTACTCAATTTATACAGAAGAGGTCACTCTGTAAAATTTAATACTGCAGTTTGTCAGTTGCAACAGTTTACATAAATGTTGGATGCGAAGAACATACATTTTTTTCCCTCTTAGATATTCTGAATAAAATGGTAGAAAGAGAACTGCAAAGAAATAACTATAGTATAAATTGATCTTTCAGTGCAGCATTAATTTGTACTGTTGCTTAATGTAAGCTGAATTTTGGCTACTTTTAGATAGTCTGATTAAAAAGCTAAACACTTCTCATTTAAAATGTATCATATTTTTTTTAAAATGTGAAAAAATACTTTAAAGCATCCCACCCATAGATAAAGCTTTAGTGAAAGTCATGAATGAATCGATGCCACAGAAAGGAGGACAGGATAGAACAGACTAGATTAGAGAGAATTAAAACCATACTGTAGAATATAGCTAGATTACAATATGATCTTGAAACCCAAATTTATAATGGATGTTAATGTTAATGGATACTGCCACCTATCAGTCTTGTTGACAGAAGAAAGACTAAACTAATTTTGTTTCATTCCAATTTAAAAAAAAAAGGTCTTGAACATACCTTATTGAACTCTTCCTTTGGTAGTCACTGAGCGAAGGAGACCAACTGTAGGAGAAAGTGATTTATGCAGATGCTTAGGCCTCTGAAAACTGGAGGTCCAGTATGCCATTGGAGTAATTATTTGTATGAAGTAGTGCATAGGGGCCTGATTAGGGCCCCTTTCGTGCTAGACCCTGTATAAAGAGATAACAAAAAGACAGTCCCTGCCCTGACGAAACTACAATTTAAGTAAATCATAAGAGAAACCTCATATCTAACTGAATAGGAGTGAGAGAAATTTGATCAGAAAGGGTTGTGTGTAATTCCATAGTGCAACTCTGTATAAGATGACCAGACATCCCAATAAAACTGCTTTTGGCCACTGTTCTTTTTTGCTTCCCTCATGTGTCCCAATATTTTGTCTCTTTCATCTGGTCACCCTAACTCTGTGACAGTATAGAAATCTTCACATTATACCCACTAATTTACATTTTTGTAAACCTTCTAATATACAAGTGCTATAAGTAACAGAGTGCATCTCTTTCACCTAGTGTTCCAACAGAGAGAAAATTATGCAAAATGGATTGGGAGGGTGGGAAGGGGAGAGGAGAGGGGAGTGGTAGTTCTTTCAGTATCTGTTTTCAAATCAAGTCCTGTCTACCTCTGACACCAAAACAAGATGCCCAGTACATTGTGTAGAGGTGCACAATAACTGCCATTCTTCTTTGTATGCTTTACTGACCCATTAAATAGTTATCTATGCTGATATTTTAAATTATGACTAGTAAATGTCCCATTAAGATGAAAGGGAGCATTCCACACCACTTACAGATACTGTTTTGTGCTGCTTGTAGAGAAGACATCAGTACCTTGAGTTACATGACAGGTTTCAGAGGAACAGCCGTGTTAGTCTGTATTCGCAAAAAGAAAAGGAGTACTTGTGGCACCTTAGAGACTAATCAATTTATTTGAGCATGAGCTTTCGTGAGCTACAGCTCACTTCAAAGCTCATGCTCAAATAAACTGGTTAGTCTCTAAGGTGCCACAAGTACTCCTTTTCTTTTTGAGTTACATGCAGTTCATATCCTTAAAGTTTTTATTGTAATCATAATAATTAGAACTCTTAAAAAGAAGTAAAGATTAAATTCTAGACCATTTTTCTCCCAGAAAAAGTACCAGCTCCTAGTGCCACGATGAATCAAATTCAACCTCTGCTGCAAGAGGGATATTTCTAGGATATTTGGGAAATTAAACATTAGTTGGCTCTATGACAGGCCTTCACAAATGGTAACATCACAGGACATGTACAGACTGTCACCCACAGTGTACTGGAATGTGAGACATAGGAAAATCAAAGTTCGCTAGTCATCCTACTATTTGGAGAGCAATTCAGTTTTCATGGCTCTATACTGAATCCTGCCAGTTTAGTGTGCAAAACAGTAAGAGTTCCGAATGTATAGCAGTGTCCCTCGACGTTGCGAAGGGAAAGCATTTTATTGCATATAGGCCTCATGATTGCTGTATCAGGCCATTGTTTAATTAAAATAGTTTTTTTTAGAGTATAGCGTTTTTCATGCTATGCCATAGACGACTCATGCCTTCCTATACTGGGGGGCACAATCTAAAGGGGAGGACACATAACCTCCACACATGTCTCCTCTGCCCAGGAACTCACCCCGTCCAAGCCAGGGCCACCATGCTCTCCCCGCCCCACCAGAGTTACCTGCAGGAGGGGGCTCTGTCCTTCTGCTGCTGGGCCACGCCCCCACCCTGCACATGTCCCTCTCCCTCCCTCCCTCACGAACAGGCCAAACAGATATCGGGGGAGGGCACTTGACCCCCTCCATGCCCCTCATGTATCATTTCTGCATGTTACAAAGGAAGACCTCTAGGTACGTAGACTTGCTTTCTAACTGAAAGCATTGCACTGGTTGCAATTGGTTTCCAATGTAGTCATAAAACATCTAGTGTTGAAATGGTTTATTCCACTTTCAAGACAGTTTTGCCTGGCTGTGGGTTTTGTTACAAAAGTTCTATACAGAATCAATCTCACAATGATTATGATTAGGTTTGGCAGAATTTATATATATATATATATAAAAAAATTTCTACTGATACCTATTTGTTTTTTTATTTCCATTATTGATTTAAATTTTCACAGCTGTGCAAAATTATAGATTAATTCATCCTGTGGCATGAATACAAACGGAAACTAACATCTTAAGGAGGGACAGATGTAGGCAGAATCCATAGATGCAAGACTTGGTTTAGCAAAGGGCCTATAGACCCTTAAAGTATATATCCAAAGATCACCAGGGGTTGCTCACTGTCAGATAGGAGGGCATTGGCAGAGTAGGGAGTAAATTAATTTCAGTAATATTTTATTGTCTAGACCAGCTATACAAATGTTAACAAAGTGTAAAAGATTGATAGATTGTAAGGCCCGAAAAGACCATCTGTGATCATCTAGTCTGACATCCTGTATAGCACAGCCATAGAACTTCCCCAAAATAATTCCTAGAGTATATCTTTTAGAAAAAAACCTCCAATCTTGATTTAAAAATGGTCAGTGATGGAGAATCCACCATGACCTTTGGTAAATTGTTCCAATGGTTAATTACGCTCACTGTTAAAAAATTATCTTAATTCCAGTCTGAATATGTCTAGTTTCAACTTCCAGCCAGTGGATTGTGTTATACTTTCTCTGCTAGATTGAGGTGCCATTATTAAATATTTCTTCCCCGCATAGGTACTTATAAACTGTAATTGATATTTGTAATGATATTTGAAAAAACTTCTTATTGTCCTTAATTCTGCTGGCCTTAGATTTCGCCTTCTGCCCCTCATGTGCCCTTATTTATTTTCTACAATTCTTAGCTTCTGATTTATATTCCTTATGATTCACCTCCCCTTTCTTTAATTTGTTATATATAATTTTCTTTTTGGGGCTGGCTTCAGTTTCCCTTTAGATTAAGTAGTTTATTTTAACCACAGCAACCTTCTTCCTCATTTGTGAAACTGTGAATCTACTATGGTATTTTAAAATTATTACTCATTATCATTTAAAATGATCTAATTAAATATGTTCTCCCAACTGATTTGGGTCATAATTGTTTTCAGCTTTGTGAAATTGGCCCCTTTAAAGCACCAAATATATCTATCTATAGATAGAGAGAGAGATTATTACTAGGCTGGGTTTTATTCTGCTTGTACATTATAAATGTGATCAAGTCAGGATCACATATAAAAGAGAGAGACCCTCTTTCAGCTGTATAGACGCTCCATTATGGTGATTCCCACAGTGTCCGGGGGTTTTATTACACCGCTATCCATCTCCCCTTCGTATTTATTCCTGCGCTGCTGGCAGGTTGCTGTGGGAGCTGGATGCTGGAGTAGAAAGCGGCCGTCTCACGCTCCTGCCTGTCACCTTGGTTGCACAGCCAGCGCCTCTTTGCCTTTGGCCCGCGCTTTGTCTCTCCCCGTTCCCAGATGTAGCTTACGCTTCCTGACTGTGAGCCCCCCTGTGCAAGTCTGTGCCACGCGTGTCCCAGCGCAGAGGTGCCGCGTACGGTGCCGCAGGCGCTCGAGCAAGGAAGATGGCCGGGGAGGGGCTTCGGCTGGCCGTAGGGGGCGGCGACAGCCGCACTGAACTGAATCGCGGCAACCCACCCCAGCCACCGCCTCCCAGTGCCTGAGCGGCGGCCCGGCGCGGCCCCGGCCCCGCTCTCCCGCCGGCAGGAGGCGCTGCGGCGCCGCGGAGACCGGGCCGGGAGGGGACGCCGTTGCGTTGCTAGGAGCGGGCGGCCGCGCCGCCGCCAGTGAGGAGCTGGGCGCTGCTGCGGGTCGGCGCTCGCCGCGTATCCGGCGGCGCGGGCGGAGTATGAGGCCGGCGCGGACGGGACGCAGCGGGGCCCGGCACCAGAGCTCCCTGCGGTGAGGCGCGGCCGGCAGCAGCGGGCGCGGCGGAGCGGGGATGGCTCGCGCCGGGGCTGCGGCGGAGGCTCTGCCCGGGGACTGGCCCCGGGAGGCGGCGGCGGCGGGAGACGCCTCCTGCCGCAGGGAGGACGGGGCGCGGGACGCGCTCTCCCTGGAGCAGATCCTGCGGCTCTACAACCAGCCCATCAACGAGGAGCAGGCGTGGGCCGTGTGCTACCAGTGCTGCGGCTCCCTGCGGGCCCGGGGCCGCCGCCGCGAGACCCCCGCCGCCAGGGCCGAGGCGGCTGCCCACGTCCGCATCTGGAAGGACGGGACCGTCACCCTGGAGCCGCCCAGCGGGGCTTCCCCTCCGGCAGCAGGTGAGGCGCCCCGGGGCGCCCTGCGGGTACAGGCTGCTCCCCACGCCGGGCCTCCCTCTCGCAGTGACCCCGTGTCTGGGGCTCGGAGCCCACCCCAGTAGCCCTGCGGGTGAGGCTGAGCCCCGGGCCCGGCGCGTCTCCCTTTCCCCAGGGCTATCGACCTGGGGCTGTTTCAGCCCCTTCTGTTATCCGGCCCTTCTCTTCCCCGGGGCTCCGGCTCCCCCCCGCACTGAACTGAATCTGGTTTCCTCCCTCACCTTCAGCGCAATCCTTTCGCGTTCACACGGTGTGAAAATCCCCTTCCCTAGGCCCCGTCCGCCCGCGGCCACCGCGCTTCTGCTCCTGGCTCGCCCGTTCGCTGTGTATGAATGTCACGTTTCCCCCTCCCTGTTATAAATGGCTGTACTGAACTTGGGTCTGGGGTCTCCCATGTTGGGCCCTGCTGTACATCTCGTCTGCCCCCGCCGCATCGTGGTTGATGCGGAGACGAGCAGCGCGGAGCCCGCAGAATGGCAGAGAATTATAGCCGGACCGCTCGGGGAGGCGGGGCCCCCGGGGGCGTGTGCGCGCTGCACTCCAGAAGGGGTCCGAGCAAATCGGCCGCCGTGGCTTTCTTTGCCCCAGCTTGTCGAGTGTAATGCTGCACTGGCTTTCCCAAGCTGGACTGACTGACAGTGCCCCGGGTACACAAGGGTGTGCGTGTTGGTTCGGAGAGCTCCGGCTCCTCCTTTGACCAGAATCCTTCCTGCTGGTGGGAGCGGGAGCCTGGAGAAGGGAAATCGATGAAGGCTGCCCATGTAGGTCAGCATGACAAGGGGGAAGGCGCTGCAAAGCAAAACAAAGAGAACAGCTGTCAGAGAGACCATGCACACTGTTCGGAGGACTGAATGTTGAGGGGGAGGAGGAGGTATTAACGATGTGTGCCTTCTTTTGTGCCTACGTTTGTGCCGTTTGGCATCCAAAAAGAAATAATGGTAGTAAATTTTTGGGAGAAGACCAAATTAACAGAGGCATGTAGTGCTTAGTGAATAATACTATAACATATATAATAAGAACGTATTTGTATGCATTTTCGATATCCAGGGTAAAACATACAGGGTATGAAATATATATATATAATATAATATATAAATATGAAATATATATATAATATATTTATATTTAAAATTTATGGCACACACATATATAATATGTATGTGCAATATTTTATAATGGAGTATAATTATAATGTATAATATATATTTTAGTGTTTGAGTAAAATAATACCATATTATAAGTATTTATAAGATGTACCTTTTAAATGTCTCTGATTATATTACCTCTCCTAAAACATTTTTGAAAACAGATCAGCATCTTAGAACACTTACCAGAAATAGATTGATGTTATAGATAGGTATGCTAACCTTAGCCAAATAGCAAAACAATCTATATCTGCTAGAGACATAACACACACAACCAGGTATTTTAAAGTTTATAGAAAAAATGTATTTTCAGTTGCTATCAAAAATTTTCAGTCCATGGAGTTTCAAAGCTCATATTCATACATGAAAAAGCCTATAAGCTCTTTTTTATGTAAACATAGATTGATTTCTGTATGAAATCTAAACCCATCAGTATGAAGGATATAAAAGTGAAGCAGATCTCACAGATAATTTCATCAGAGAAGTCCACATCATGATAAGAGTAAATGTCAGCGGAATTCCTTAATAGGAATCAAGATTTGAAAATTGATATGAAACAAAAGATTATTATGTAAAGTATTCAAAATGGGGTAATATAAATTAAGCATTTAGAACATGAATAGTAATCTGGCATTATGAATTAATGAAGTCTTTTAAAAGATGTGTCTTCTGGACAAACAGTGGCAGAGAATTACAGTAATCCTGTCTGGAACTAGTGAGGGTGCATAAAAATATCAAAATACATAGGGTGAAAAATAAGCCATAATCTTGTGCTGATACTGAGATACGTATAATGAAAATTCCAATTTAAAATTGATCTGGAATGCTTTTTAAATTAAAAAAAAAAAAAGTCTGATGTTACATCAATTGAAGAATTTACACAACTCCTACTAACCAGTGGGACAAAACTTCCACAACCAGCCCTGCATGTTGCAGGGACACAGGAAGAGAGTTGTATACTGCAGAAGCACATTTTACTTCTAACATTTTCAATCAACAACAGGCTTTTTTCAGAGAATGTATTAACTTACTACATCTCTCGTTTTTGTTTATACCTCCTTTCCTTTCCTGGCTTCACTCCACTTCCTGTTTTCTTTCTTATAACAGATCATGGTATATCTTTTTCTTAGTTGTCTTCAGTAAGGCCCTGTCTAGGCAAGGATTAAAGCGTGATGCAAAGCTCAGGGTCCTCACTAGGCTTTAACTTGCCCAGTTTAGCTCATGTTAAATGTAGTGTGCCTTGTCTACACTAGACTTCTAAAATGTATTGCTTAGCTAATATCATACTTTAAATCCTAGTATAGACAAGGCCTAGTCTTTTTCTTTTCCGTTTTTCCTTCCAACCACTTATATAATTTTCTCACTTTTCCTACATTTTATTCCCTGCCTTCTCCCTATATTTTGTGTGTCACCCTCACACATCTATTCACGTTACCTACTCATGTTTAGGTCTTGAAAATCTTACTATACATCTAAGAGCCAGAGGACCAAACCTGTTAGCCAAAGATTGATATAAAAGATTGGGTGGAGGAGGTGGCCAAGGGGCAATGCTTCCTCCTCCCCATATACTGGATAAAGGGAAGGTGCTGGGATTTCTACCATGGAGCTGTCCCTAGACCCTGCTCACTGGCTCCATCTTTTGTACCAGCCTCCAGCTGGTAGGTATCTGATAAATTTGATCCTCCACTCAACACCATCCATGACTGCTGAAAGGGATCAACGTTCTCTGTTCCTCCCTCCCACCCTACATCCTCCTGACAGCTGTAATTTTTTGGGAGTGGTTTTGCAAAATATATATCTTCCTCAGCTTTTTGGATTCTGCCAAGGTGTTTTGAGGGTGTGTGTTCTTTAGTACTATTCTCTCAGCCTCTGTTTTCAGGTCGTCTTATGCAGTGGGTAGGTGTAATGGTTCTGGCCTATGGCTTTCTCAAGCAGCAATAGCATGTTATCAACCTGATTCTAGCTTTTAATTGCTACTCGCAATCTTCTGGTTAGTAGCAATGAAAATTAACAAGAATCATAGTTTTATTTTGCTGTGGCTTTGGAAGCAATGAGCAGTAGCACAGGCACTAGAGCTGTCTTAAGACTCAGGAAGACAGCAATGCATTAGTTTGTGTTTGGAAGATTAAACCAAAGCGATCTCCACAAACATAAGAGCTAGAAATTAATTACTATTTAAATTAAAAAACAGATTCTGCAGAAATTGATGGCATTTTTCCAGAACAGCTTCCTGCAAGTGGATTTTTCAAACCCTGCCTTACATCATTAGGGGAATACACAGCTATTTTTGAATTTAGAAATAAATAGTTTTTTAAAATGAAACTGACTAGACTTAGCATATAAAACAAAGAAACACAGCCTTGTTCTGTTCTTCCTGCAGAAATTGATGGCATCACAATTAGTTTGGATGAGCATAAAGGGTCTGATCCAAAGTTCAGTGAAATGAATTGTAGCCTTTCCACCGACTTAAATTGGTTTTGGATCAGGCCCAGGGTTACATGCCATAAAGATCTGTGTATGCCTGTAATGTCATCAGTCTGTACAGAAGAAATAACCCTGAAGTTGGGATCTATGAGGTACGTAAAAGAGAAAACGATTCTTAAATATTTTGTTTTAGTTATCTGTGCATTATGTTAATGATTAGGATCCTACATTTTTAAACATTAAAATATTTTTTTCTATTAAATTTCTAATGAATAAAAGCAAAGATACTCTGAATTTAGGTGCTAGTCCATCCTACTCATCTTTATTTGTGCAGGGCATGTAGAGCTCAAAAGCTAGTCTCTTGCACCAAGCTTTATTTTTCTGTAGTAATACACATAAGCATATTTGATTCTAGGTTTTTATTGTACAGGTTTAATTTATCAAAAGAAGCAAATATGGGATGTTGGTTGCTGTTTTTGTATACAATGGAATCCTGTGTGTATGGGCAAATAAAGGAGTTCCCCGAGAATGGTATCTTGGTGTAGTGAACATTCAGGCTTTGTTTAGGACTGTGAAGGAGGATGTGATCAGTCATGCCTGTCAGTATAGCGTATGCTAATGGAACAGCAAATTCAGAGATAAAGCAGTATTACAGAATTTGCTTTAGAGATGCCTATAAAGTACCTGACTGTCTTCAGAGTATATTGCAAATCTCATCATTTTGCTAGAGCTGAAGATGGGAAAGAAATAAACATTAAAAATGTAATAAGTATAAATAGATTAACCTAGCAGAAATAAAGTGCTGAATCCACTATGATCACCTTAGTGTGAATCATAATTACTCTGTCTGGTATGTAAATACTACAGATATGTGTGTTCTTATATAAAATTGCAGAAACCAAGGAAGGTGCAAAATACGTTTAACTCAAACGGCTTGTCCTTCGTTACTTATGTTTTATGAAAAATTAATTTACAGCAACACTTGATAAAACGGCAGAGCAGATAAAAACAAAACCTCTGTATAAGTTAGATCAGTGTTTCTCAATCTTTCTGGTACCAGGGACTGGCTTGCTGCCTTCCTAAACTGTGTCAGGGAGATCTCAGGGACCAGCAACAGTCCATGGACTGGTGATTGAGAAACACTGAGTCAGAACATTTTGGTGTAGAGATGTGGTTTCATTATATAAATGCTATTGTGAATCAGCATTTCTTATATATTATTTAAACCTCAAGCATATAGTTGAGGTGACAGTTACATGACTATAAAAACTGATATTAAATCCTGGGCAATGTATTCAGCAGTGTTAGAGCTGAACAAATATAAGGTTACTTCTCAGAAAAAAGGTTGTTGCTCTAAGTGATCTGCCAAATTTTAGTTATTAAAAGCTCCAGCTTACATGTTCCTTACATGTGATAAATCTTTGGGATGGAAAAATATACTCAGAAATCTCAGGTTCCTTTACATGCTCCCTTAGGGCCAGATCCAATACCAGTATAAAGTCACTATATAGGTTTCTGTTAACTTCAGTGGGGATTGGATTGAGAGGAGGGATGGCTTTGAGGAATTGTGGAGGGAGCAAGCAGTGATTTGAAAATCTCACAAGGCAAGTCTCCAGCTGTCAATCATGAGGGCTGGCACATCCACAGTGCTCCCTTCCCTTTCTCTACTCAGTGTGTGGCTTCCCAGAGAACGGTGATGTCAGTGGCTGTTCTTTTCCACTATCCTCCACCTCACATGCCCATGGATAGAAGGCAAAGTGGAGACTTACTGCTTGTTTGACCAGCATTAATTATAATGCACGTTTGATCCTTGAAATCTTCCACTAGTTGATGGGAGCACAGAGCATGTGTGCTCCTTGCCTCTACCCCAAAAAGATTTGCAGA